CTGGGAATGAATAATTGCAAATATTCTATGATTCTAAGTGGACTTTCATTTGAGGGAATTAGAATTGGGCACTTGTTCAACATCTGCGGTGAAGCCGGCAAAGTGCCTGGTGCACAATGGGTATGTCACTCAAAGAATGCCAGCCGATGCCAATATTCAGCAGAAGAGTAATGCATCACAGCCACCATGGGACTTTGTAAATGTCGATTTACACAATGCAACTGGGATGGCAGATTTTGGGCAGAATAATGATTGCAAAATGTCCCCTTTTCATAAAATGGCGTATAGACAATAAATTCTCTGTGCAAAGATTTTGTCCCCTGCAGAAATCTCCCTTTCCAGTATTAAATGGAACAGAGAATAACACTTTACAATGAGGTATTTATTGAAGAGGTTCCATCCACTGGCCATTAGACTGAAGTTTTTGGCTCTGAAATAATTCAGCATATTCCTTTCTTTTCTTCTGCCTGTTGTTCTGCATTCAAGCAATAGAAGCTTAGCTGACAGATGCTGAAAGCGCTCACTTTGTACCAATTACCCGGCTCTTTGGTGTGTGTCATTCTCTTTTAGAAGTCCTCATAACGGGTTTGTTTGAATTGTTATTACGGCATCCAGAGTCGACACGCAGCAAAATAATACCAATAGTTCCTTGCCCACCAAACGGTGGCGGCTGGTAGAGAGCATTCTGAACCTCTTTCGGGTGCAATCGCTTGCCTCTCTTGCTTTTCCATATAATATACAAAAGAGGCAAAAGAGGGGGAGAAATGAGGCCCTCTCCTCTGGAGCGTATTGCAAATGGAAATTTTGCAAGCTCGGTTACTCGCCCGCCTGTTTTAATTGCAATTGTTACAGATTGTAATTTCAGCTATGAGGATTTGGCAAGAGGCTTGGAAACGATATTTCTTGTTGCCGAATGGCAATGGTTGTGTTCTATCAGCCAGCCCTGAGCTTGTGTCTGTCTGGCTGTGTATACAACAAGGGTAGGCACATTGCAGCCTATGGGCATACAGTGCCCTCTGAAGTCTCCACCAGTTCCTCAAAGCCCTCCCAATCTCTCAATATTTCTTTTTTAAAAATTCATTGTAATTTTGGGGCACTTTTTGCCCCCAAACCACTCAGAGACTGACGTGAACCCAACCTACCTCAGAAGAATCCCCAAAACCCATTCTACCCCAAATCCCTCCATCTTCCTCTGCAGACTCTCTTAAAATGGTGGCAGCAACTGATGCAAAGTCGCTTCCTGCCGCCATTTTGAGAGAGACTGCAGAGGGAAATGCAATTATTTGGGATGTGGACAGTGGGGAGGGCCCCCCAGATTGCATGCAGTTGTCCTTTCTTGGGGTATATACATATATTGGTGTCTGGCAGATGCATAACCTCTCCAACCAGGAGCTATAGAGCCTTTCCATCCACATCTTCATCCTCCTTCCTTCTCTCCTGAGCTGGTCTTGCACATCTCATGGTCACTAAGATACATGCGCCTGATGTGCCAATGACAAAACATTCGGAGAGGCAAATGCCTTTGCAATAAGGGAAGCCAATTTTTGCTGTCTGAGGTTGGAGGAAAGCATGCCAGAAAATGACATTTAGTGCCACTCTTTTGCAGCAACCAGTCAATACTCAATGGTACACATACATACGCATAGATACATATCCTTGGCCTTCTTTTTCACATTTGCTGTGCTTGCAGGCTGACTTACTTTGCGCTCCTCTTGAGCAACTAATGCACACATCCCCGGGAGTCTTGCTCCACAGTTTGAAAACCATCAGCATAGCCGCATTGAGATATCTATTCTGGCTAGCCCTGTATTTATGGAAATGTCTCACATTGGGGAAGGCTGAAATAGTCAGTTCCCAAGTAAATATGAAAAAAAAAAAACCAAAATGGAACATCGCTAAGAGGTTGTTTAGTGGTGGAGTCTGCTTCTTTGGAACTTTTTAAACAGAGGCTGGATGGCCATCCATCATGAGTGCTTTGATTGTGTATTCCTGCATGGCAGAAGGAGGTTGGATTGGATGGCCTTTGGGGGTCTCTTCCAAAACTACAATTCTATGATTCTAACGTCTAAGTAATTGAACTGTTTGGGGGATAGACTTTAGGCTTTGTAGAGCTCAAAGGATACCAGGGGTAAGTACAGCTTGGAAAATTTACGATTTTTGTAACAGCCTATACAACATCTCAGACAGTAAATGCAAAGACTGTGCCCAGCGCAAAGGCACTGGAGTCTGGTCTCTCTAGTATCAGCTCTGGATTTTAGGCTGGTATCCACTGGAGTTTGGTTCCAGGACCTCCTGTGGATACTAAAATCCATGGATGCTCAAGTCCCATTACATACAATGGGATATTATTATTATTAATTATTATTATTATTACAGTGGGCCCATGGCATCCACTGGGGTTTGGTTCCAAGAGCCCCCCATGGATACCAAAACCCATGGATGCTCAAGTCCCATTAAATACAA